TATGCAAAATGCCTGTCAATCACAGTTTGAGTAAGCGAGCATAATAAGCATTCATTTACTTAGTGGAGAAAGGCGGAGTTAATTACCCATGAGCACATGGTGCAATCCATGGGATTGAGCAGTTCCCTTTAAAGCTGTGGTGTAAATAATTGTCCCGTGCAAAGATTCTGAAAACCTGTGACAGAAATTAAACTTTACATATGTATTTAGATTTATTGATCTCCACTAAAATAAGATGCATGATAGCATCATTTTCAAGGCTACACATTGTTAGACGTCATAAATGAGGTCATATCATAAACAAGCATTGAACTTCGTCGTTCATGAAAAATACGCAAGCATTTATTCATATAAGAATTACTCATAACATAACTCAGAGTTTCTTATGGGTTAACACAAGTCTACTCATAATTATTTGAATACAGATTGGGGTTCAAATAACCATGAATGTACAACATAGCTGAATGCTGAACCTAGAAATGCTGTGTCGAATTGATTTCACAATTTTTGAGCATTCAAGAGTCATAGCATAAAAGCTGCATCCAAAATTTTATATTATTTTTTTTCCAGAACTTTACCAGCGAAGATAAAACTGACAAAATTGTTCATAAATAGTGCAAGAGTTTGAAACTTGATAAGACCGCTCAGCCTATCAATGTTGAAAATGTTATGGATGCATGTCCACGTCTTCTGTGCATAGAATCGTGGTTAAAAAGCCAATTGTGTTTTATCACAGTGTGGTACTATGGTAACAAGTATATACTTACTCTTACAGCAGTTTTCTTCTCTGAACCCGCTGGTATTCTGCGACTATAAGATCCTGGAAAACAAGTTAATGTCATGAGACAGTGCTGATCATGAAGTAGGAGTATACATAAAAATGAAATATGAAATTAATACATTAGATACATTTGTGTAATATTTGTGTAAGAGTTGTGACATTTACAATGACAAATTGTTTCCTGAATCCCTGATATGGTTTGTATTGTGTGAATGAAATTGACAGTAAGCATGTCAGATATGGCACAAAAGTAGTATTTTTAAACAAAATGGCGGTTAGTCGGTCATTTTGAATTAAATATGTAAAAGAAAAGTGCCAAATGCTAGCTATGATGTTCTATGTTTTCAACCCATCAAGGCAGCCTGAGATCAGGTCCTAAGAAAATGATTGAGATACAGCATGGAATAGATGAAATATTATTTAAATCACTAAATTAATGCATATGTATTATGTATGTGTAACATTTGAACATAATTGACTCAGGCAGAAAAATAACAAAATGGCCATCATCCAGCCATTTTGAATTTGATCCCTAAAACAAAACAATGTGCATCAAGGTTCTATGGTGTTGAATGTATGCAGTTTGAATCAACACCCTCCATGCAGGGCCAATTATATCTACAGATTAACCACACCCACAAGTAAATTTTTCGACGATAACGCTGTTGCCGAACATCAGACATTTTTTCATGAATAGGACTTTCACTTCAACTTAATTATGGACAAGCCAAAAAAAAAACAAAACAAAAAAAGTATTTTGCTACTCAACCATTTATGTACTGTGAAGTAATGTTGTACAAATGTATTTACCTTGCACAGTTGCCATGATTACACCAATGTAAAAGAACATCATTCCTTGCTGCATACTGTGCATGGGAGGGAAAAACAGTAATTAATA